TAATCCCAGCAGCCACACTAGTTGCCATAGAAACTGGGTGGTGCATGACTTTAATCCCAGCTGGAGAGAGGATTATGAAACGGGGGTGGGGGGACAGCTCTTAGACACAGTCTCATTCTGAGATTCCCGGAGGTGGGATCGCCATTTCAGAGTGAGGTTGACATAAGAACCAGTGGCTGGCTGTTTGCTTTTTGGATCTTCAGCACAACTTGTGGTAGTTGGTTCTTTTCTCCCACTATATCAGTTCTGAGGATTGAACTCAGAACGTCAGGCTTCACTTTTCTGTGCTCAGTCTCCTCACCAGCCCCGAGTGTCCTCTTCCAAGTGAGAAACTCTGAGTGAGACCCTCGCTGCTGGTCACCATCCATTTCTTCACTAGGCAAACATTTACCAAGTACTTACTGAGGATACCGCAAGGATGAAGATGAAGTCTTGTCTTCAGAATATAATCCTGTGGAAGGATGGTGCGGATGGGGGACCAGGAACAGGTAACAAGTTAATGTGACCGGACTATACAGAAAGCAAGGCAAGGGACGCTTCTTCCTGCTCTTCCCGATAGCCCCCAATTCCGTCAGCTATGGTGCTGCTGTCTCCTCCTGCACAGCTAGTGTGCCAGGTGATGTCATCTCTTCTCTGCAGAGGAAATGGAAGCAGGCGACTTGTCCACGTGGTGGAGGGGTCTGAGCACAGCAGCCACTGTCCTGGGGACCTGATGAGCCTGAGGCTGACTGTCAGTCACTGGGTCAGCCCAACACTTGCCTCTGCCTGAGGCTGTCTCGGTGACATCATGGATGCAATGAGCCTGAAACAGAACTTCTTCGAGGTGACACCACCACCTGCTATAGCAGCTATCTGCTGAACAGGCTCTACCAGGCACTGGATTTGCTCCACACCGTCACTTGTGATGCGAGATGTCACTGTGCCAACTTAACACAGTGGTTGGGGCTGGGAAGTGGCTCAGTGGATAAAGCACGTATGTAAGTCCCCAGCACCCACATACATTCTGGATGGGTATGGCAGCCCTCCTGAAATGGGAGGTTCCCAAGGACAAGCTGACTGGTTAGAATAGCAAATCAGGAGCTCTGAGTCCAGGAATAGGCCCTGATCTAGTGAATAAAGCAGAGAACAATCCAGGATATCTAGTGTCAACCTCTGACCTCTACATGACTGCACACACACGCATGCATACCCACACAGATAAGAATACACACACACAAACACACAAATTTGCACAGAAAGTACATAACTGTTAACAGGCCAGCAGGAACATGGGGCATTTCCTCAGGGCTCACTGGGGAAAACAGGACCAGTAGTCTAATGTTGGAAGACAAGGCCAATGTCGGGAGCCACTGTGACCAGCATCCCCAAGGGCTGGACTGGGACACCAACCAGAATTGGGCCCCTGAGACCTCTTGACATGGAATGGCTGCTCCTCCTTGTTCCTAGGCCACTACAGCATAGGGGATTAAGGACCAGCAGGGCAGAGGCCAAGGCCATGGCCTGGTGAGGTTCACCCTGAGCTAAGGGAGTTAAATGTATTCAGGCTTCTGCTGTTCTCCCATGGCATGTGGTGGGGCTGGCGGGCAAGAGCAGAAGCCATGCCTGTCGCTACTATTTTTAGTTAGCTGACTATCTCTCATCATCTCTACCAACACAAGATGCTCAAGGGACACCAAGAGACCTGGGATGGTTACCTGCTCCGTGGATGCAGAGTTACCACTGTGCCCTGACCCCAGTTCTAAGGAAGAGCTTGGGAAAAGGGCAAGGCTGGAGGCACTGAGGGTCCCAATTTGCTCGCTCTACCTTTGGTCAGATGCCCAAACCCTTCCTCCTGCTGGCATCTGCCATGATGAGTCAGGTAACCGTTGGAGACAGCGTACCTGCGCAGCTCTGGGTTCTCTGGACAAGACCTTTCTCCTGGCTTCAGCCTCTTCAGTTTTGAATGAACTACTTCCTCCCTCAGCCTCCAGTGTGGAAGTCAGTCTCCCTCAACTCATGCTTTGATCATTAGCTCCTGGGGACAGGACAGGCTCTGCCTTCTGCTGATGTTCTCCACTCTTCCCAACCACCACAGGAAAGGGCATACTTTTATTGTGCTGTTTTCAGTGGGGAACTGGAACACATCTGAGGTCTTAGGTAGAAATCAGCACAACGCATTTCTACAAACAACTCCTCCATCCAGTTGCTCTTTTTCTCCAGCACCTAGCCGGATGTCAGTACTTGAGGGTCTAACCAAGCCTGACAACTGAGTTCAGGCCCTAGGACTTACACATGGTGTAGAGAACCAACTCTTGCGAGTTGCTGACTTCCACACATGCATGGTTGCATGGGCCTAGAGACACAATCACAGCCAAAAATAAACAAATGTAATAAAAGCATATTATTATAGTAATAGTGATGGTCATGTCAGGCAGGTATGAGAAGCCAAGCACCCAAGAAGTCTGGCATGGCAGAGACGAAAGGTACAGACAGACGTCAGCCAGGCTGCCCGGCCGTCCTACTCACGAGCCCGTGCACACTGCGGGTGTTCTAGAAATGCTGCTTTGCATCCTGCACGTGCTCACGTCTGATGCTCTGGAAGAAGCCCCCTCATCTGGTCTCAAAGCTGACAGGCAGCCCTTCGTGCCTAACTCCCCACTGCCCAGGTAACTTCCGGTGGGACAGGGTGTTCAGGCACTGGCAGAAGTGGGAACTCGATGGACCTTTGGGAAGCCATTGCTCAACTTTCTTGTATGCACATTTTACCATCTTAGACATGAGTGTGTGTGGATTTTGGTATCCAAGGTCATCTTGAAGTTCCAAAGGATGAGTGTGAATCAAAACTTGAAAGTTTCTGTAAAACAAAAGATATCCCTGGCAGGCTGGATAGCCCCCAAACCTGTGACTACATCTTTATAGATGAACATAGTGGACATGACCAAGAGGCAAGATTAACCTGGGATCAAGGTATCACAAGGGTCCTTCTAAGAAGACAAGAAGGCAAAAAGAGGAGATGAAGGAGAAAACAGAAGCAAGGGAGAAAAGGTATCGGTGCAGTGGCACCATGAGCCTGAGGACAACAGCATCAGAACGCTGGGAGAGAAGACTCAGTGGGTAAATAAAGGTGCTGTGCCAAACCCACAATAGTATTCCTAAGCAAAACAAACAAAACCTATAAGCAACAGAAATGGGAAAGGCATTTGCAATATATTCAACCAAGAGTATTCTAAATATGAAGTACTTTCTAATCTAGTAATTTTAATAAACAGAGTTGCTATGTGCCAGGCACTGATATAAATTTACTTGGTCCTCATAACTCTAAGTAAATATTATTAATACCACTTTACATCTGAAGAAACTGAGGCACTTTAGTTCAACTAACTTTACGCTCAACAGATGATATTAAAGTTTGCAGTTCAAATGGACATTAATTCAAGTCTCCCAGAGCAGAACTGGAGTGGGAAATGTGAGTCTGCTGGCAGCCACTGGTGAAGGGGCGAGTGTGGGAGCAGGTGGTGCCCGGGGACAGAGGGAAGGAAGAAGACCAGAGCTCCAGACACCACTGCAGTCAGGGCCCCTGGGGACCAGCTGTCTGGCTGGGGGACACTGCAGGGAGTCAGGGTGCTCAGCCACAGGCTGGCAGCTGCGGGTGGCAGTCTTGCCAGGAACATCGTGTGTAAACTGAAGATATTTTAAAATGTACAATTTGGGGGTGGGTTATCTTATTTATTTTTAATAATGTATTTATTTATATTTTATGTGCATTGGTATTTTGCCTACATATATATCTGTGTGAGGGTGTTGGATCCCCTGGAACAGGAGTTAAAGACAGTTGTTAGTCATCATGTGGGTGCTGGGAATTGAACCAGGGTCCTCTGGAAAGAACCACCCCTCCAGCTCCATATTTGTTTATTTTTAAATAGGGGCTAAGTAGTCAAGGTTGACCTTGAACTCTCGATCCTCCTGCTCCAGTTTCCTCAGTCTCATTTTATTTTTATTATTTTTTAAATTATCTTACATGTATAGATATTCCTGCACTGCTTGAGTTCCTGCCCTGTATTCTGATCAAATATGTCACAAAACAGACTGCTAAACTAGATTCACAGTTAATTCTAGCATCCAAAAATGCTGATGGAGTACCCACTCAGGGCACAACACTACACCATTCAGAAGATATGGCCACTGGGGTTTTGTATTGGCTATAAGAATTATTATGCAGGTTATTGCTACAGAGTCATAAAGAGCAGAAGATGTGAATAAGAAAAAGGTCATGTTCCCTTTCTCTCCATTAATTCTGGGGAGAAAACTTAAAAGCCAAAAACTAAAAAAGTAGTATTTGATTGTACTTTCCCAAATCCAGAAAACAATTTTATCATCCAACAAATAGCTTAGAGACACATGCAATAAAAAGATGAGAAAAATAAGCCAGGCGGTGATGACACACACCTTTAATCCCAGCACTCGGGAGGCAGAGGTAGGTAGATCTCTCGGATCCCTGTGAGTTCGAGACCAGCCTGGTCTACAAGAGGTAGTTCCAGGACTGGCACCAAAGCTACAGAGAAACTCTGTCTTGAAAACAAAAAAAAAGATAAAAATATCCAATAAAAACCTTCACTTTCAGCACCATACTTAGATTAAATGAATACTGCATTCCCTAGTCAAGAAATCCATACAAATCAGGTGTGGTGGCCTTTAGTCCCAACTCTGGGAAGCAGAGGCAAGTGGATCTCTGAGTTCCAGGACAACCAGGGCTAGTGAGCTAGTGAGACCCTAGCTAAAGAATGAAGGAAAGGGGGCTGGAGAGATGGCTCAGAGGTTAAGAGCATTGCCTGCTTTTCCAAAGGTCCTGAGTTCAATTCCCAGCAACCTCATGGTGGCTCACAACCATCTGTAATGGGGTCTGGTGCCTCTTCTGGCCTGCAGGCACACACACACAGACACAGAGAATATTATACACATAATAAATAAATATTTTAAAAAAAGAAGGAAAGGAAAATAAACCTACACAAGAAATTCAAAGCTTCAACAAAAACAGTATATTTTATTTACTGACCTCTAGAACAGACTAAAATTCTCATAACTAATAAAAATTTCAAGTTAAAATGTTACTCAGCATGACAAACTTTTACAAAAAATACATTAGTGCAGTACCTTTGCTCGAGCAGGTAACATGGGACGTTATACTTAGGTGGTGAAATCAGTTACAAGTACAAGATAAACATAAAACAGTAGACTCCTGGCTTATTAGAAACCCAACAGTTCTGAGAGGCATGCTATGCTCCATACTTTAGTTCATCCGAATAACCCTTAACCCCTCTGAGACGATGTGCGGAATCACATCATGGACATTCTGCAGAGGAGGTTGCAGCCCATCACAGAGACCATCGTTACGCTTGTGCCCTCAGATAACTGAAAGCCAGTCTGGCAGGCACTCACCGCTCAGCAAGCTGCTGCCATAAATCCCTTCTATTCAAACACAGTGTGAACCCGGCAAGAGAGGAAAGGCAGGCTCAAAATTCATAAACCAGATCATGCTCACTGCAGAGCAGCAACCCCAGCTGCCAACTTTATTATAAACAGCATAAATGTTATGCTCCAAAAGAAACATGCCAACACAGCAAAAGGTTACATTTTATTTCCTCTTAAACACAATCTAGAAAGAACTTTTCTTGTTAATTCATCAACAAATTACTGATATGAATTTACCAGAAAAATAATTATATATTTTCCCAACATCAAATGATCTGCAAAAGCTGCTAAGGTATTTCTTATTCAGTTTCCAAAAATAAAGGCTTCTAACTGAGAGCCCGGACATCCCACTCTAAAGCAAACCTTAGAACACAAGCTGGTCTCTCAGTTCTCAACAGCTCAGTTACATAAATATTTTCTTCCCAACACTTTCTCAGTTTCAAAAGCTATTTACTTCCCAAGAACATACAAACAGTCTTCTTTTCAAACCATTCATTCTGTTTCCATGGCGACATTGCGGGATTCCTTGGCCACCATAAGTCGCATTAGTTGACTGTGGAATTTCTCAATCTTCTTTACATCTTGAGCTTGGTCTGTTCTATACACCAAACACTGTCAGAAAATTTAAAGACACAAAAACTAAGCAAAGCTAGATATTAGTAATTAGGGACGCAGGCGAGTGGTCACATATCTGGGAGTCTTATCTGCCCTTATTTTGCTCTATTCTCTCTGGAGTCACACTAAACATCCAACAATTGCTTTCCCTCCATTATTTTATTTATTGGTTTTTCAAGAAAGGGAATCTCTGTAGCTCTGGAGCCTGTCCTAGAACTAGCTCTTGAAGAACAGGCTGGCCTCGAACTCACAGAGATCCGCCTGCCTCTGCCTCCTGAGTGCTGGGATTAAAGGCGTGCGCCACCACCGCCTGGCTCCCTTAGTTATTTTAAATGTCACTGCTGCTGATGAAATGTAAAGAAACTCCTTCTAGAAACATCTCAAAAATGACAAGTTAAATCCTACTGTCTATAAGTTCCAGGGGTTCCAGCTCCCCTCTTCAGGCATGCACACAGGCAGACACGCAGCAAAACACCCACACACCAAGAATAAGTGAATAAAGTTGAAGATCATCCTCAGCTACACAGTAAGTTCAGGCCAGCATGGGCTACAAGATTTATACATTTCCTACTTGAGAGAATAGTCTCTTATCCAATGCAGAAAAAACTTCAGAAGGGACCTGAGGGTGGCAGGTCAAGGATTTTTTTTTTTTTAAAGAGAGTTAGTACTTTTAAAAGTCATTCTGGCAGGCCTGGAGATATGCTCAGTAGTAGTGCATATGTAGTATGTAGATGGCCCTTGAAAAATGGGAGGGAAGGGGCTGGAGAGATGGCTCAGAGGTTAAGAGCATTGCCTGCTCTTCCAAAGGTCCTGAGTTCAATTCCCAGAAACCACATGGTGGCTCACAACCATCTGTAATGAGGTCCGGTGCCCTCTTCTGGCCTGCAGGCATACACACAGAATATTGTATACATAATAAATAAATAAATAAATATTTAAAAACAAAAAAAATGGGAGGGAAGTTTTATGTGTGTGTGTGTGTGTGTGTGTGTGTGTGTGTGTATGTGTGTGTATGGAAGATCACTGGCAGTGCACAGGATGAACTAAATGCACAGGTACTATTGTGAGACAATCCTAATAAACCAGGCAAGTAGTATGGTCCTAATCTGAAAGAGCATCAGTGAAGATGGACAGCTGGGGACAACAGGAAGAAGCAGGAAAGCCTTGAGTTAGCAAGTGCAGACGCCTAGCCAAGTGCAGGAACGGCATGTTCAGGGATCAAAATGCCACTTCTTCAAATAAACCAACAGTAGGCATAACAATAAAAGAAAAGAAGGGACCAAATACTATGCCCAGGTTTCTGGCCAGGTTGACAGCATTCCTAGCCACAGAGGAGGAGCCAGATGAAGAGTGAGAAGCTCCATGCTGGAAGGCTAACTCGGAAGGATGAATGAAGTAATGTTACTTGACTTCAGAGTTAGTCAGATCCTCAGAAGAAAAATAGGAGTCCAATGTACAAATCTGTAAGCAGACACAAATACAGAAAGTACTAGACTGTAGGAATCGAATGGACTATTCTAGAAGAAGTGATACAAAAAGATAATCAAGGTCAGAATACTGATAAAGCACAGTATTTACGGGGAAACATCTAATAATCAGCAAAGACAGCACAGAAAAGCAAGGCCAACATAAAGCTACAAAGGGCTAAAACTTCCCATAGAGAATGGTCTTCATACTGCAAGTGGCAGAGATCCAATGAACATGAACTAATGAGAGCACTGGGCTAGATCTCATCACAGCACGGTGGCGCTCACATCAGGAGCAGACTGGTGGAGGGCACAAAGGGCAAGCCACAGAGGGAAGGAAGAAGGAATGGAGAAACAAGAACAAGCCCCTGGTGTGGCTTCAAATACATTATTTATGGAGCCAGGCATGGTGCCTTTGATCCTAGCATCCTGTGGAGTTCAAGGCCAGCCTGGTCTACATAGCAAGTTCTAGGACAGCCAGAGCTACATAGAAAGACCCTGTTTCTCAACAAGACAAAACGACAGCCTACAGAATGGGAAAAGATCTTCACTAACCCCATATCAGACAGAGGTCTGATCTCCAAAATATACAAAGAACTCAAGAAACTGGACATCAAAAGAACAAATAATCCAATAAAAAAAATGGAGTACAGACCTAAACAGAGAACTCTCAACCGAGGAATCTAAAATGGCTGAAAGACACTTAAGGAAATGCTCAACATCCTTAGTCATCAGAGAAATGCAAATCAAAAAACTCTGCGATTCCATCTTATACCTGTAAGAATGGCCAAGATCAAAAACACTAATGATAACTTATGCTGGAGAGGTTGTGGGGAAAAGGGAACACTTCTGCATTGCTGGTAGGAAAGCAAGCTGGTCCAACCCCTCTGGATGTCAGTGTGGCGATTTCTCAGAAAATTAGAAAACAACCTTCCTTTTGGGTATATATCCAAAGGATGCTCAATCGTGCCACAACGACATGTGTTCAACTATGTTCTTAGCAGCATTGTTTGTCATAGCCAGAACCTAGAAACAATCTAAATGCCCCTCGACTGAAGAATGGATAAGGAAAATGTGGTACATTTTCACAATGGAGTACTACACAGCAGAAAAAAATAATGACATCTTGAATTCTGCAGGAAAATGGATGGAGCTAGAAAACATCATTTTGAGTGAGGTAACCCAGATACAGAAAGACAATTATCACATGTACTCACTCATAGGTGGTTTTTAAACATAAAGCAAAGAAAGCCAGCCTACAAACCACAATCCCAGAGAACTTAGACAACATGAGGACACTAAGAGAGACTCACATCGATCTAATCTTCATGGGAAGTAGAAAGTAGAAAAAGACAAGATTTCCTGAGTAAACTGGGAGCATGGGGACCTTGGGGGAGAGGTAGGGAGGGGCGCAGAGAAAAATGTAGAGCTTAATAAAAATCAACCAAAAAAAAAAAAACCTGTCTCAAACAACAACAAACTATATATATAAAATTTACTATTTATGATTTATTTCTCACCATGAGAAAGGAAACCTGCTCAATTTTAGTCTCTATGTTTTTCTGGCTTAAGGCCTGAAGAAAGCAACTGTTAGCCACTGCTGGCACATTGCCTTCATGAAGCAAGTTCAGTTACTTCCTGAATCTAAAAGAACAGCTTTAACCAGATGGTGGTGGCACATGTCTTTAGTCCCAGCACTTGAAGGCAGAGGCAGGCGAATCTTGGTGAGTTCGAAGCCGGCGTGGTCTACAAAGCAAGTTTCAGGACAGCCCAGGCTACAGAGAAACCCTGTCTCGAAAACCAAAAGAAGAATGAAGTTCTTCGCTATGGAATGCATGCACAATAAGTACCCTAGATTGGTCATCTGCATGAACTCTAAATAAACAACTTCAAGGAAACAAACTCAGAACCCCCAAAACAAATAAAAATGTATACTTACAACTAAATCATCTGTTACTTTGATACACAAATTCCCATCAACGTGCCTGTATTTGAGAACCACGCGTACCTGCAATAAAATTACTTACTTAAAAAGAGCAAAATAGATAGCACTATGCATACACAATTTCATCAATCGTGCAAAAGCTCTTTAGAGTGAATGCCCCAGACACCCGAGAAAGCGCTTCCACTATAGCCTCTTCACTGACATGAGGTAAAGGGAAAAGCCAGCCGTTAGTTCCATTACATCTGTTCTACTTATGCTTTAGATGTGTGTACATGGTACATATGTGCACACGTACGCAGAGCTATGTGCTCTATTCACTCTGTTTTTAAAGACTTTTTATTTTATGTGTTTAGACACTTTCCCTGCATGTATGTCTGTGCACCACAATGAGTGCCTAGTACCAGCAGAGGCCAGAAGAAGGTGCTGGGGTCCCTGGAACTGTAGTTACAGGTGGTTGTGAGCTGCGATCTGGGTACAGTGCTGAAAACCAAACCTTGGCCCTCTGCAAGAGCCACCTCCCCAGCCCTGTCCATTTTCATTCTTGAGAGGGTCTCTCAATGAACCTGGAGCTCACTGACTGGCTAGGCTGGTGGCCAGTGAATCTACTGCCACCCTCCTACTCTCTAGCCACTCAGGGCTAGAGTCACAGATGTACACCATGCCCAGACTGTACAGGGGCTGAGTTCAACATTGGGCTCCCATGCTCACACAGCCTTTTCCTCACAGAGCTGTCTCCCCAGCCCTATTTAAAAAAGCAAAAATCAACCTTTTGTTTTTAAAGTTGGGTACTGTATTTTTAGTTTGAAGAAATGTACTAAAATTCCCAATACACACATCAAGGAATGTCTGTGAGGTGGCTTGGCACTCTTGTTAGTAAAACAGATGAAAGGAAGGGGGTGGTAAGAAGCAGGAATGGCTGAAGTCCAACTACATCCCTCAGGAAACCGGGCCGAGGGCAGTCCGCCGCACCTTCCACCTGTGCACCTCCCCCAAGAAGGCAGGTCAGACTCCTCAGCACATGCCATCTTTATCACAAGCACGAGGGAGGCTCTGTTACCTTGAGCGGATCCACCTGGAAGGTCCCCATGGCTTCCCAAAGCCAGGATCACTCACAACAGTGAGCACTGTGTCACGGGACACTTCCCATTGCTCACAATTCTAGACTTCAGTAGCCACGATGTAATCTGGACATTAGCACACCGCTATAACAGCAGCCCAAACTTCAGCTTCTGTGAGCGTTTCTTTCTCTCGGTGATGAATGCAAACACAGCGACCGAGGCAGAGTCAGCATTTCGCTATCAGTAACTCCCGTTTAGGTAACTTTAAAACCAAAACACTAAGGATCGTCAGCCCTTTCCTGCCCCGAGCCAATTCCAAAAGCCCACAAATTTAAAGTGGTTTCAGCATGGCAACCTGTAGCTCGTCCAATTGCACCGTGCCCTGCTGGGGTCTTAAGAGTTACACCTCTAAGAGGTTTGTCTGGGTGACAACAGAGGAGGAACTCACCCAGAATATAAAATAGCTACCTATGTTTACAGTACCTAACCTACTCACTGAACTATTACATTTTTGAAATTTAGTTTGTAGGAACAAAGAGAAACCAATTTTATTTGAAAGATAAACTAAGCAAGACAACAATGTGGGATTTTGACTGTTGACTAAAAACACTCATTGTCTTCATGGAGAGTTACGGGGCTAATGGTACCATAAGATGGGTATCCATTGTCAGCTGGGTCACAGAGACAAAAACTCAAGGTTCCACTCAAAGACTTTGAGTTCTGCAAACCAAAATAATCCGACACAGACAGAATGAATTAAAGTTCTAGAAAGAAAGATACTGGTAAAAAATACTAAAGGAGAAAAGTAGATTATAGTGGGAAAGGGGCAAAAGCCACTTTTCTTAGGAAGTGGCTTTGAAAAACACATGTTTTCCTATAAAGAAGGTTAGGAGCTGGAGAGTTGGCTCAGTGGTTAAGAGTACTGGTGGCTCTTCCAGAGGTCCTGAGTTCAATTCTCAGCAACCACACGGTGGCTCACACCCATTCGTAATGAGTTCTGGTGCCTTCTAGCCTGCAGGCATACATGCAGGGAGAACACTCTATAACATAATAAATAAATCATTTTTAAAACGTTGTCGAAAGCAGCGTTCTGAATAAAGATCTAATTCATTCTTTGGCTTCAGCAAGTCTAGAAATGAGTGGGTGAGAATTCAGTAATCAATGAAGAACAATTTGGGGGAAGTTTTGGTCTTCGTTGTTTGTTTTTGAGACAAGGTTTCTTTTTTTTTTTTTTTTTTATGTATACAATATTCTGCCTGAAGGCCAGAAGAGGACACCAGACCCCATTACGGATGGTTGTGAGCCACCATGTGGTTGCTGGGAATTGAACTCAGGACCTTTGGAAGACAGGCAATGCTCTTAACTTCTGCCCAAGACAAGGTTTCTTTGTGTAGTTTTGGCTGTCCTGGAACTCATTCTGTAGACCAGGCTGGCCTCAAACTCCCAGAAATCTGCCTGCCTCTGCCTTCCAAGTGCTGGGATTAAAGGAGTGCATCACCACCACTGCCAAGCTGGTTTTAAGCAGAGGACACTTGGGTGTCTCTATTTTCAGACAGCAGGGACAGGACTGTAAAGGACTAGAAGGAAGACAGGCCCAACTAACGGTCTCTTCTTCAGCCCACCAGCAACAGCACTTCCGTTTACGCCATGCGGATCAGTGTGATAAAGGGTGAGAAGATATGTATGGGCTCCGTGGTAAATGCGCTGGGGAGAGAAGGCACAATCTTTGCAAACATTCCCGAGACCGGACAAGCTGTCTTCTTTAGCCCTGCACGGATCAGATGGGCTGGGGTTCAGAGTCACAGTTTGGACTTAAGTTCAAGCTCTTAGAGCAAATCATCTTGGAACTTGAGAATGAGGTTCATGCTCTACATCCCTCCCCAGTCGGGGGAAAAGTGAAAAACTAACAGAAGGTTTTAAGGAAGCAGAAGTCCGTAGGCCAACAGACTGTGTCACCTGGTAGAAACGTAAGGTTCTTCCTCTCCTGTCTATTCTAGACATGTTTTGATCACCACAACTCTGTCACTTCTATTTTCATTTCCCTACAGCTACCACCACATTCTTACAAGTACAGTCCTTCTGTGTGCTTGTATATCCTTTACCGTTCTTTTACTAAATTAAAAAATTTATCCTGTTGTATCAGGCCCTCTGGACAAAATCTTGTTACACCTTCCAGCATGTTGCTCAACTGAAGAAATGGCAAACAAGTTGCCAGCACCAATGTATTTTATAATTTTTATTTATTATTTGTGTGTGCGCGCATGTGCGTGTGTATGATGTGTAGTTAGACAAGTTTGGGGGGTCGGTTCTTTCTTTCCATTTTTATGAGTTCCGCATGCTGAGCCTCTCCCCAGCCCCGATATATAGCTTTAAAAAAACAGCTCGTGTTATATAAACATTAGGCACTCTCACGCCTTTGAGGGAAGGGAAGGGAGCACCAAAATAAGTGACGGACAGGAAAGAGAAGGTGCAGGGGCGGAGCACCAGCCTTAGCGACACGTAAACCAACCAAAGCCATAGCGGAAGTTAGGAGTTCCTCGGGTGCAGGCCACTGCAGAGTCCACCGCTGTGGAAATGGCTCTGTCCTGTGGACACTGTCGCAGCCTCACTGGGTCCCAAGTCAGACGGGAGGAGACGGAAGGACACAGAAGGCGCAGTGAGAACGAGGACAGACGCTGCTTCCTGCCTGTGCTAAAGCCGCATCACAGGCGCAGGAGACCCCCGTCCCGGCTAGTGACTCACCTTCATGGGGTCGGCGAGGTAGAGCTTCTCGGCCGCGCGGCTGAACTCCTCCCAGGTCTGGAACTGAGGCATCGCGGCTTCGGGCAGCGAGAGACGAGGACACTGAGAAAATAGCAGGGCAGGATCCCCGGCTTCCCACCTCCCTCCGCAACCGCCCACGGCGCTGAGCTCCGGCGTACAAAGATGGAGGCCCGCTAGCGCCCACGCCATTGGTCAGCCTCGGCCGCGCCGGCCCAATGGGCAGGAGGCATCCTGCGAGGGGCGGGGCCTCCGCTTGGAGACGTCGGGAGCGAGGAGAGGCCGGCGGCTGCCACAGCGCCGCCTGCAGGCCTGGAGGGGTGGTGACTGTGCCCCTGCCTTCTTTCCCGACTGTGATTGATGCTAAAAAATCAGGCTCTGCTTCACAAGGAGCAGCTCTGTGACCAGGCACCCAAGTTACAGTCGTGGTGATGACAAGGCCCATCTGTCACACTTACAGCCCAGTCAAGGAGTTGGGGAGACAACAGGAATGCAAACAAAAACTTTCTGTAGTAGATCTTTGTATTGGTTAAATGGAGCAAGAAAGAGTGAGGCTCACAGAGGTAATAAAAGCTGAGTAGGTGAGCAGGGAAGGGCGAAACACCTCAAGCACATTTTAGATCCGCAGCTTACTTAATGTGAACAGTGTTTAGGGAATGGAGGAAGAGAAGAAGCAAGGAGCGAAGGAAGCCACCTCGTGGCATCTGCTAGAAAGGAAATTTGAGCCTGGGTTCAACAGTGAACAGCACCGACTGCTAGTCTGGAGGACCTGAGTTCAAGTCCTAGCAGCCACATGGCAGCTCACAACTGTCGGCAATTCCAGTTCCAGAGAATCCAACACCCTTTTCTGGCTTCCATGGGCACCAGGCACACAGGTGCTACACGAACACAAACGTAGGCAAAACACCCATAAATCTAAAAAAAGGAAGAAAGAAAATTGACCCGTTTACTCCAGGCAATGCGTGACACAGGATAGTTTTTACAATAAACTTTATTGGGGTATATTTTATGTGTGGTAAACATTGGTTTTAACAATATACATTCATGAATTTTGAAGGAAGACATACACACACATTACACGCCCACGGAGTATATCCCTATATACCTAATGTCATAATAAATTTATGGGACATTTTTCATCTCCAGAAATCTCCTTCATGCTTTCTTATATTCATTCCCTCTACCCTCACTCCTGGCCCCACAAATATACTTTCTTTTACTATAAGTTGCTTTTCCTTCTCCGTTGGACAGCTTTAAGCAGTGTTTTGTTTTGTTTTGTTTTTACAGTGCTGGGGATTGCTCATGCTAGACAAGGTCCCTACCATTCAGTTATAACCCCAATTTTCTCTCTCCCCCATCTTACCCTCCCTCTTGCCTATATTTTTCTTTGTTTTTTCTTTTTGTTCTTTATTTTTTACTATTGTTCATTCGTTTGTTTGTTTGTTTGTTTGAAACAGAATATCTCTCTCTATTGCCCAGACTGGAATGTTCTCTGCCTCGACCTCTTGAGTAGCTGGGACTGTGCCACCAAGACTAGACAGATCTTTATGTCATGAGTCTGAGGGAAGTCCAGGCTATTTAGTGAACCCAAGGTCAAACTGAGCTACTTATCGAGACCCTGTCGATAAATAAATGGCAAATAAATAAGAATGGCGATGGTCCTAGCAAGAGACCATCATGGCATCCAAGCTAAATACGTTATGGGGGGGAGGGGCATGGAACTTCAAGGAAATCTGAAGTTGCATCATCTATACAAAGGTTAAAGTCACAGATGAAAAAGAAGGGGATTAGATGTTGAAGAAGGCTCTAAGTTAGGGACCCACATCCTTAGAACAAGGGACATATATGTTGGGCAGTGGAAGCCATAAAGAAGAAGAGGAGGAGGAGGAGGAGGAGGAGGAGGAGGAGGAGGAGGAGAAGAAAGAAGAAGAAGAAGAAGAAGAAGAAGAAGAAGAAGAAGAAGAAGAAAGAGAGACAGTCCAGCAAATGATCCTCAGGGAAGAGGAGGATTTTTTTTATATTTTTAGTAGTATATATAATAATGGGTTTTATTATGATATCTTCATGCATGTATATATTTTAATCATATTCACCCCCTAATGCCCCAGATCTCTTAGATTTGTCCCAGCATTAACTCCCCTGATTTTATTAAACCCTCTTTTACATATACATGTAAGTGAAAGGGCATAGTGTAGTATTGCATGTTTAATCCAAACTTTGGAGTCCTCGTGATGCACAGGTGCTTATCTCTCCATGGCAGAATCAGCAAAACCAAGCTTCTGAGCTTACTATAAAACGTTGCTGCCAGTGGTGGTCACCAAGTATACAAACCACTGTTTGTGAGAGAGTTTCTAGATAAGGTAATCAAGGGGGGGAAGATCTGTCTGAAATGTGAGTGGCTCCATTCCATGGGCTGGGGTCCTAGACTGTCAGTGAAGGAGAAAGTGAGCTGATCACCCATATTTATCTCTCCGCCTCCTGACCTGAAGTAGTGTGGCCAGCAGCCTCACATTTGTGTACCCCACGCTGAGCCCAGATAAGCTTTTCCTTCTGAGGCAGCTTTCGTTAGTCATTTTATCACAACCCCAAGGACTGTCTCTAACATTCCCATGAGGAACAGTCAACCTTCCTGTGGTACTAACCCAGATCCAAGAGCTTCCCCCACCTCCTTGAGCTCCCTGGTTATAAACAGTAGCAGTTTGATGGAAACAAGGCAGACTTTCAATGCGCAATAGCGAACTTCGTGGAAGGCAGAGAATCTGCATCATTCTGAGGAGTTCCACATCCGTCCCAAGAGCAGAACCCTCTGGCTGGGGGCAAGAATGAGACATATTTACCAGAGACAGCCCGTGATTTCTTTGTGACCCATAGCCACGCAGGCAGTTGGAGAGAAAAGGGCCTCCTTGGTGCCTGTAATACCTTGGATAAACATGCTCCTGGGATTTTGGTCCCTTCGAGAAGCCACCTGGCCATTACACACCACAAGGTCCACCAAAAATACCACTCTGGCATCTCTCATGGGCACAACCAAGCAGATCAACAGGTTCCATGCCAGGTCACCTACATTTCCAACCCCCCTCTTCCATGTCTAAAATGTATCCTTCAAAAGGCTTTAGATCAGGGTTTCCCAACTACTTTAGAGGCATAGTAACAAGGCCCCAGGAATCAAGTTATTGCTCCCTGGATCCTTCTGGCGAAAGGCCCTTGACAGCTCTTATTAGGCCATACATTTGAGGGCCAGATCCTGGGCTAACCCCAGAATTACATTTGAGAGACAAAAACAATTTCTCAGCAAATTATAATAATACCTGGATTATAAGAGCTCATTCCAGGAAGGCTCCAAAAGCTACAGAGAAACCCTGTCTCAAAAAACAAAATGAAAAAAAAGTCTAAAACAATAGATGTAATACCTGTTTCCTTAAGACTTATTACCATTGCAAGTTATTATCATCATTCATACACTACTTTTTAGATCCAAGAATTCAGTAACTATGAGTTGCATACTTCTTACAAGTAAGGCATTATGCTGTTTTAAGGGTAATGAGGCCAGGATCAGGAGCAGAGACAAAAAGGCAGGTTTACAAATACCTACACACAAAGACAGCAAGTTTGCCACAGCCAGGGCTAGAACATTCTGATTCCTGAGAGTGGATAGACCCTGGCTTTGTCTGCTACTTGTCTTTTTTTTTAAAAAAAAAAAAAAAAGATTTATTTGTTTATTATATAGTGTTCTGCCTGCATGTATGCCTTCATGCCAGAGGAGGGCACCAGATCTCATTACAGATGGTTGTGAGCCACCATGTGGGTGCTAGGGATTGAACTGAGGACCCCTGGTAGAGCAGCCAGTGCTCTTAACCTCTGAGCCATCTCTCCAGCCCCTGCTATTTATCTTTAGTTCTTTATCTTTTACCATAAAGCTTCCCTGGGGTGTGATGGCTAATCTCAGCTGTGAACTTGATGAGATCTAGAATCCTTTGGGAGACAGACTATGGGGTGCAGGGGGTGTATCTGGAGGATCTTGGGGGGTATTTATTAGGTTAATTGAGGTTTGAAGACCCAACCACTGTGGGCAGTATCATTTCCCAGGCTCGGCTCCCAGACTGTATAAAAAGGACAAAGTGAGCCGGGCTTGATACACACTTGGGAGGTAGAAGCAAGCAGATCTCCGTGAGTTTGAAGTCAGTCTGGTCTACATAACAAGTTCTAGGACAGCCAGGCCTATATATTTTCTGCTTTCTGACTTTGAATGTGATGTGTCAGTGGTAGCTGAACTTTCTTTGGACTGCTAACTCCCGAATAATGTCACGGAGATTTATTGTTAATTATGGAAGCTTGGCCTAAGCTTAGGTTTGTTCCCAACTAGCTCTTGTAAGTTAAATTAACCCTTATGTATTAATTCGTGTTCTGTCACATGGCTTGTCACCTTGTACAATACATTAACTTCCTCCTTGTCTCCGGGGCAAATTCCCACCTCTCAGATTCTTCTCCCCAGTTCCTCTCTCTCCCTGGAAGTCCTGCCTATCCTCTCCTGCCTAACCACTGGCCATTCAGCTCTTTATTAAACCAATCAGAAGGTGCTTTAGGCAGATAAGGAAGGACAGACACATCTTCACACAGTGTGGTCAAATGTCCTACAACAACAACAAATGTCACCTCAAACTCCCCCACACTGCCTTCCCTGCCTTGATGGGCCCAACACTTGTGAGCCAACCTAATTCCTTCCTTAAGTTGCTTCTGACAGGGTCTTTTATCTCAGCAACAGGAACAGTCACTTATATGGCTGATAAGAGAGGGAAGGAAGGAGCTCTCAAAGGGTCAAGGCGGATCCGGACTGTTGTTCATTGGTTTGCCTGGTGTGCAGGAGGTCCCGAGTTTCACTTCAAAGGAGAAAAGAATCTCAGTTGTTTCTGGAGCGGAATGACTGTTCCTGAGCTCTTTTCTTCTGCTTGGACTTTTGTCCCTCTCTGTTCCCCATGGTTTGTCTTCCACAAACAGGGCTGGAACTGTTCTAGACCGAGAACAGGTGTGGGTCCCTCAATTAATTCTCCCTCCAATGGGCATTATAATGGTCCCAAGTGCCGCTGGCATGCCAAGAATGTGTGTGGCTCTGTTTATTTTCCCGAATTAAATATTTATAGAGCCCACTGTGTGCCAGCAGCAGTCAAGGGAGGCTT